CCAAGTCTAATGTCTCAAATCCAGTTACAGTGAAGGTCAACTCAAGAACACCTCTGGCTGGGCAGAGGTAGGAAGGCTAATTCCAATCACTGAGGGTCGCCCGGCTCCTGCATGCCCTGGGTCAGGAGTCGATTGTTCTGGAAGCGGGCGAGTCTGGCAGTACAGAGCATCAACTCCAACCCATCAGTTCACAGAACCTCTCCTGCAAAAAGGGTTTGACAAAGGAGACAGTAATATGAAGAAGGGCTCAGAGGAAAGAAAAAGTATAGAAAAAAAATGTGGGGGAAACTAGAGTTTGTGTAACATTCTGGCTGAGAGCCCAACCATGATTGAAATACCTAAAGCCTAGAAGGGCAAGAACCCTACCCATCAGCTCTACCACCCTCCTCATGCGTGGCGACGGGCCTCCAGCCAAAACCACGGAGGCAGATGTGTTTCAGAATTCACAATTTTTTTGTATTTTAGAAAGACTTTGGATGACTAAGACATAAATTGTATAATATCCCTAGCAGTTTCTGGAGGAAAATGCCATACTCCAACAGGCTAAAATTACTGCAGTAAAAATGTATAAATATTTACCCAAAGTGGGATGCAGCCTATCAAAGCATGTCAATTTAGGCACAGTTTTGTCACAAAAAGAGCTTATACCGCACTGAAGAAAAATTTATGGCGTTCAGAGCTTTTGAGACTTTGAAATTGGAAGCAAGCAATTGTGTAAAGGACACTGCTGAGATGCTGACCAGCCAAGTGACTCATCCAAAGGTACACACAGTTCACTGAAAATTCAACTCCATTGAAATGACCACACAGTTAACTGCACATCTTCTGTGTTCCAGACACTGTGTGAAATGCTGAGGTTAAAGTGATTTAGTTTCCTAGGGCTACTGTAACAAAGTACCACAGGCTGGGTGGCTTAACAGGATAGAAATTTATTGTCTCCCAGTTCTGGAAGCCAAAATCAAGTCCAAAATGCAAGATCCACAGCCCATGAGGGCAGCTTCTATGCAGGACAGAAGTAGGGAAAAGTCCCTGCTTTCCCTTTTTTGGCCTAAGTTGATTAAAATATTTTTGACCCAGAATCAGCAAACGTGCTTAATGTGCAGATGGTTTCTGCTGACCTCCTTCCCTGGGAATGTAAAATGTGCTTTTATCAGGGTAGGCAGAGAGGTCTGTTTTGTGAGTTTCTCTGTGCAGTGTTTAACTGGCCTAATAGTTGTCAAAATGCCTCTGCTTCAAGGTCCTGGTAACTGGGTTTCCAACAGAAGTGGGGGCAGGGGCCCAGGGAGTGAGCATAAAAACCTGTGCCCTGGCACAGGTGAACCTGGGGTCAGCACTAACCATGCAGGCAGCTGCCCTGTGAGACACACATAGAGCAGTCATCAGCATCGGGGTGGTTGTTGGACTTTGTTTGACTCCCATGTTTTATGATTTCACTTAAAACTGGGGGGAAAACCCCTTTTTGAAACATAGCAAACAAAAAAATGTACAAATATTATGCATAAGACTTAGTGGTTTTTCATGAACTGGACCCAAACCAGTACCCAGATCTAGACAACATCCGGGAAAGCCCTTCTCACCATACCCCTCTTCTAGCTTCTACCTGCCAAGGGGTAACTACCAGCCTGACTTCTAACACCACGGATTGGGTTTGGATTTTGAGCTTATATAATTGAAAAGAAACATATCAATTTTTGTGTTTGTGGCTTTGTTCGCTCAGTTTCATGTTTATAAAATTCATCCACAGTGTTGCTTATTGCTATGGTTTATTCTCATTGTTTTATATAGTTTTGTATGAACATATCAAAATTTTTTATTCATTCATCTGTTAATGAGCCTTTAGTTTTCCTCATCTGGGTGGTTATGAATAGTGCTTCTATGAATATTCTTATATGTCTTTGGATGAATATATATACATTGGAGAGGGGTGCATACTTGTATTAATTGTCTATTGCTGCATAACAAATTTCCCTCCAAACCGAGTGGCTTATAACAACAATGAACATTTATCCTTTCCCACAATTTATTGAGTAAGGAATCTGGAAGAACCATAGGCAGTTTGTGCACAAGGCCTTTCCTGAGGCTACAGTCATCCAAACACTAGCCTGGTATGGAGGATGTGCTGTTAAGGTACCTTATGCACGTGAGTGGCAAGTTGGGCTGACGGTGGTACCATTCTTCTACAGGTAGACGCTCCTTAAGACCATCTCAGTGTCCTCCTGACATGATGGCTAGCTTCCCCCCACCATGAATAAGCCATTAGAGAGAGCATCATGGGAAACTATATCCTTTATGGTCTAGCCTTGAAAGTCTCAGAGCATCACTTCTGCCTCGTTATAGTCACTGGAAGGGAGAGCCTCTATGTCCAGCCCATGCTCAAGACTCAACCTTTAGAAGGAAGGAGCAGGAAATGATATTTGGACAAATCTATTTATTTATTTATTTTACAGTAGAATGCCTTTTGACATGTTATACACAAATGGAACACAACTTTTCACTCCTCTGGTTATTACATGGTACAGAGTCATTTCAGTAGTGTATCTATCCTACATGTATATAGAGTAATAACGTCTGTTTTATTCTACTGACCTTCCCATCCTGACAACCCCACTCTTCCCCCTCACTCTCCTCTACACAAACCAAAGTTCCTTTATTCTTCCCTACCCGCCCCCCACTATGGATCAGTATATACTTATCAGAGAAAACATCAGGCTTCAGGTTTTGGGGGATAGGTTTATTTCACTTAGCATGATATTCTCTAGCTCCATCTATTTACCTGCAAATACCATAATTTCATTCTTCTTTAAGGCTGAGTAATATTCCATTATGAATATGTGCCACATTTTCTTTACCCATTCATCTGTTGAAGGGCATCTAGGTTGGTTCCAGAGGTTAGCTATTGTTAATTGAGTTTCTATAAACATTGATGTGGCTGTGTCACTGTAGTATGTAGATTTTAAGTCTTTTGGTTATAAACCGAGGAGTGGGGTGGCTGGGTCAATGGTGGATCCATTTTAAGTTTTCTGAAGTATCTCCATACTACTTTCCATAGTGGTTGCACCGATTTGCAGTCCCACCAGCAATGTAAGAGTGTTTCTTTTTCCCCACATCCTTGGATGTTTGGACAATCTCAAAACCCTTCTTGCACCACAACATTTTATAACTTGAAAATAATCCTGCTGGGGGGTGGTTAAAAATAAGAGAAGTTTATTCATACAACGATCAAAAAGAACTATATTCCACCCAGCCTTTCTTCTTCTAGTCATTTAAAATTTTGTAATGATTATAGAGAATTCTTAAGGTACTTCCAGGAGACAGCATGGTACAATAGGAAGAACACAGGCTTTGGAGTCAGATGTATCCAAGTTCAAATCCTGGCTTTACTATTTATAAATGATAGGCACTTGGGCATCTTAAGAATCCAGCATTTTAGATTCTCAGATTCCCTCAATTATAAAGTGAGTAAAATCAATGGATCCTATGTCTCTGGAGAAAACTGAATAAACTAATGTGTTTACATGCCCTGTGCAATGGAAGACCCCTTCTATTTGCTCATTTGTCAAGAATTTATTAACCATCTACATTAATCATCTACAAGGTAGTATGATGGACACTGTGAGGGTTCCAAAACTGACTCAGACACAGGCCTGACCTCAGAAGGTCTGTTCTGTAGCAGAACCCTGGACAGACAGGACAACTATAATCCAACTGAGAAAATCACCAGTGTCTGGAGCAAGTGTGAATGCCATCTTTTAAATATGGGTGAAATTCGAATATGTAGAAATGGAAGAAATTTTGAGGGATAAGGGAAAAACAAAAGGTATTCCAAACTAGGAATACATACATAAAGATGGAGCTAGAAAACTCCGGGGCATAAATGGATGTAGTTCATTATAGGTATAAACAGTGTAGATGAAAGGAGTTAGTGCGCAAAGGAATAGGACAGTAGGTACCTTTTAGGATAGCAGGAAAAGATGAGAGTAGACACTTACTTTTACAGTCTGATGAAAATCATTAAGGCCAAAGATTGTTAAACCAATTTTCGAGCTGACTATGAAAGCTAGGCAGACTAGCTACTCAGGAATATACTGCCATGCTTTTCTTGGCTAACTCCCGTTTGTAGAATCTTTGTGCCTCCTACTGTAAACAGAACCTTCTAAAACTGATCATTAGAGAACACTCTGACTCGGAGCCCAAGCAACTGAGCTTTGTACTTATCATTCCCATTTTGGAGGCTGCAACAACGGGGAGGTGCAGTGGGCTGTTTTTATAGGCCCTTAGCTCACTATAAATGTACTTCTCAAGACTCAGCCATTTAGAACTGGCCAATTCATGCACTCAACTCATCTGTGTGTTTGACTTCTATGTCCAGATAATGAGCCGCTCACTCCACTTACTTCCCTTCAGGAAGACTGATCTATTTAGCAGCCTCCACTTCTGTTACATTATCCAGTCCCAGGCAGTGATGATATTTATACATAAGACAGAGATGTTTCTGGGCTGTGATGGAAGTTTGAAGAAAGTTGGAGCCAATGACCTTTCACTTTGAAGCCAAAGAATAACAAGCACAAATTTTTTTTTCAGTCTCACTGAGAATGGGGGGTTAGAAAAAATTAGCAGAAAATCTTTTCCTAGACCTACCATTCAATATGTGGTAGCCAAACTTTCTATGTACATAACTTATTTGTAACATAGCACCTTAATTTTCACAAAGCTTGTGTGTTCCATCAAAGTAGACATGGTTTAATCATTACTGGAGATTTTGTAGGTAAATATTGGATGTTCTACTTTGCCACACTCTTTGCTTTACTCTAAGTGAATTCTAGAGTATAAAGAGGAAGGACGTGTTCTAGGCACAGGATAGAATTCCTAGCCAATCTTTGCCTAGAACTTCCCACATTCCAAGTTGGAGATTTTTAATCAATTAATGACCCTTGAGTTCATAGGAAATGTTCTCTGCATGGGAACTAAGGCAGTCTTTGTCCTCTCTGATTTTTTCTCAGGTGGGAAATTGGCAAGTGGAGTCCATGTAGTCTCACCTGTGGTGTAGGCCTGCAGACCAGAGATGTCTTCTGCTCTCACCTGCTTTCCAGAGAATTGAATGAAATGGTAATCCTGGCTGATGATCTGTGTCGCCACCCTAAACCTAGTACGGTGCAAGCTTGCAACCGCTTCAATTGCCCCCCAGCATGGTACCCTGCACAGTGGCAACCGGTGAGTTCTCAGGTTACTCAATATTGGAGCATATGTTTGCAATAGCTATTCATGGCAAAGGATTCTTGTCCCACTAAGGGAATGTTCAAGTGCTGCTCATCCCTTCCTTCCTAGTACTTCTTTAACCTTATTCAAATCTAAAGCTGTTAATTATGAACACCATGTTCTTTCTACTGTACCACACCCCACTGATCTCCAAAAGCAACTCAAACGACCCATCTGTTAATCTTGAGTGTATTCATGTCAGAGTTGGAATCAAGCTAAGGAAAAATTTCCAAAATATAGATAATATGGTGGGTTTTTCATAAAGCTAAATTGTTTCTGAATCCAGGTCCTTTCTACTTTTGCTATTTAAAAATTCTAAAAAATTTGGCCATTAGATAATGATTTTTTTTTTAACTTCATTACCTAGCAAAGTAAGTTAGAAATCCAAAGTCAATTTCAGGTATCTATCTTCATTTTCCTGTTTCTGTGAATTCTATAAGTCTGGGAACCATTGTTTTAAAACAAGAATAGGCAAACTCCAGCCCACAAGCTAAGGCCTACCCTGCAGCCCTTTTTGTAAATAAAGTTTTACTCAAACATAGCCACACCCATTCTTTTACTTAGTATCTGTGGCTGCTTTTGCACTATAAGGGCATATTTTGTGGTTGAATCAGAGACCCTATGACTCACAAAACCTAAAATATTTACTCTCCCTCCTTTTACAAAAATGTCTGTTGATGCTGCACCAAAATTTTACATTATAATAATAATAACCCAACTATTCTATTATGGTAGCCATCTATCTAAAATCAATGTATATTTCTCCAGTTTGTTAAATTACCTTCTTGTTTGACTTTGAAGAACACAGAAGGATTTTAAAATGATCACTTGCATATCTTATTTTGCAATGTGCTCATTCATCATCTGGACTTCAGATTTAGCTCTAAAGTGACAAGAAAGGTCACAAAAAGTAAGCCTGAAAGGTGGCAGGGACATACTTCCTTGTTTGAGATAGTTTTAAACATTCAGAAGTGTCCTAGTTTGGGTGATAAGTTATATGGTCACCACCTGAAGGGAGAGGCTGGCCACTTACAAAGGTTTGCCTTAGTGCTGAGAAAGGGGCTGCCACTCCCAGGCAGCCAAATATCCTCCAGGCCCTTCCTTCCTTCCTTCCTTCTCCCTGTCCATCTTGGGGCTGTGGTTTAGTTAAGTACTCCAAGGAGCAAGTGAGCAAAGCACTAAAATACAGTCAGCCCTTCATATCCAGATTGTCCACATCTGTAGGTTTAAGCAATGGCACATTATATACAATCTGGTTAAGCCTGCATGGTTGCCTTTGAGCTAAACATGTATAGACTTTTTTCCCTTGTCATTACCCCCTAAACGATAGAGTATAACAACTATTTACATAGCATTTACATTAAGTTAGGCATTATTTGTAATCTTGAGATGATTTAAGGATGCAGAAGGATGTACATAGGTTACATGCAAATACTATGCCATTTTTCATGGAGAACTGGAACCAAATCAGAGGAGGATCATGGAACCAATTCCTTGCATGTACTGAGGGATGACTACAAAGTAGCTAGAAACAGACTCTGACTATATATTTTCTTTTCAAGCTTAAATGTATTATGGCTAAGTTCATAAATTCTATACCACTGTGTGATAGTCTATGGAAGTAAAGAGAATGTACTATATCTTGAACACCAATGTACCAGGATTTTACTAAGAAATATATATATTATTCCACATCTACTTGAAGTTAATTCTCACAACTATTCAGTGAAAATTAGGCTTTATTATCCATATTTTAGGTTTGAGGAAACTGGGGTTCACACTGCTAGCAAATTTAGGGGTGGCCATCACTCTTGTTTTATGGGGTACTTTCCATAATACCAAACCCCATTGTTGTATGGCTGAAAGGGGCCTTGAGGATCATATATGAGCACTCTTGTTCTATGGATGATGTAACCGTGGCTTAGATGTAGCGTTGCTCAAGATCATACCGCCTGGACCAGAACCCAGGTTCCTGGCTTCTAGTGCATTTATGCTGAGCTGCCTCTAATTAGAGTAAATTGATGACCTTAAACTGTGCCGCTAAACCTAGGAAAAGGTGAAGAGTCAGTTCAAATCAGTTTCCACTTTCAGAAAGTCCATGTATTACCTGTAGCATATCCTGTCATTAGGTACAGAGTAGATTGTGGCTAAAATGTTTATTATGAGACAAAATGAATGAGGAGATCAAGTGTACCTTCCCATGGGCCCTGAATTTCTGGCTTTATGTCCTCCAGGTCAGACTCTCTAAACCTGGAGTAAACAATAGGCTATTCTTCTTATCTTATTTTCTAGAATCCTACTCCTTTAATTAAGCTTTGTTGGCAAAATTAGTCATTCCTAATCTCTACTAAAAAGAAAGGAAATCATGTGTGCTGGAAAGAGGAGTAACTTTAAGCCCCTGAGCTGATTGGCTGTGGCTTAGGACACCACTAGTTAGGATACCAGCTGCTGATGCCCACTTGCTTGGTTAGACCACTGATTCTTCAGCAGTCCTAGGTGGGATAAGGAAACCGGTGTGCATGTGCATTCTCTTACCCATTTAGCTATATGGATCTGCCAGAGGATGTTGCTGATGCCTCTCATCCTTCAACCAGCCCCCAGCCTTTGTTCAGATGAAAGAAAAGGAGATGGGTTCGAATCCTTCACTTAAAAAAAGGCAATCTGATGGGCATTAATCTGTTGGCGTGGACACTCTTCCTCCTTGCTCTTTGAACACAGGGTCACCACAGATTTCTTGTGTATGTTTCTTTTCCTGGATAAAAAGGACAAATTACATGAATTGTCCCCTGCTAGATAGGAACACAATCTCCTTTGTTCTTTGTTGAGCACTTGCCTGACAGATGGTGAATAGCCAATATTTATATATTCTGCAGCTCTGCCAAGGACCACGCATTAAGTCCAAGTACTTATATTAAAATTTTGTCTTAGAAACAAACAAGCAGAAATCAAATTCCAGCTTTGGTTGTTAGAGGACCATTTAATTTCATTTTTACCTCTTACTCAATAATTTATCTCTTGGTTTTGATCTCTGATCTTGTATGAAGAACTCATTTAATATTTGCCTATCTAGCTTTAGTATCTTGTTTCTATTTGGATGGCTTCTGAATACTTACATTTTCCACATATTATTCTTCTGCCATTTTTTTCTAGATTATTAAACTCATCCTTCCCCTCTTCCCCTTCCTCCTCTTCATCTTTGGTGTTGGCTATAAATGAACTCTGAAACACCACACCCTTGTATCACACTGGAGAATTACCACAGCATGATTAAAAGTCACTGCTATATATACCACAGATTAATCTGAAACAGTATGATCACGACTGCCTTCTGCTAGGATTTTTCTCAAGGATTCTCTATAGCCATATCATAAAGCCACTATGTGAAAGTCTGAGGCCTTCACTACTGCAAATCTGCCCCTGCCCTATGCCCAGCTGTGGCCCCATCGTGCATTCCTTTACCTGCTCTGCTCCCTGCCCACCTGCAGTTTCCCTCCCCTCTGCCTCTCAGAATCCATCAGAAGCCCTCTCTCCTCTGGCAGGACTCCTCTAACTCTACCATCCCCCGACACTGAAACTACAGAGTGTTCAAAGTCAGTCCTGCTCACTGAAGTGACCTGGTGGAGACTTTCTTGTGGCTTCTGAATTAGATTACGAGGTCAAGAAGGCAGATACCAAGTTTCAGTGGGACACATAACACCCAGTGCATTTAGACTAGACCTAGAAGATGCTGTGGAAAAGGCACATGCCAGGTATGCCAGGCTCATTTATTGATCATTTGCAACATCTTAGCAAGTTACTTTTTTTTCTCTTTTTTTTTTTAATAAAAGCAGCACATACAGTGCATCACCTGTAATGCAACTCTGGGCTCCTGACATCCTTAACTCACTTAATCCTCACTCTCCTATGTTATGGTTACTAATATTATCTCCACGTTGCAGATGAGGAGCCTGGAGCACTGTGAGGTCAACGTGAATTCCAGCTTCACATAGTAGAACTCGTTCTGCGGCTCTTGCATTTTCTGTCTTATTCCTTGCAGCGTCCTTGAGAGGAAACAAGGTTTGAGGGAATGGTTGTCCCAACTCACATAGCTGGCAATGGAAAAGGGGGCCTCTGAATGCTTCAAAACCCCTTCTTGCTCAGCTTTATATTTGCTCTGAAGTATTAAAATGCAAGGAAATTTGAAAACATAGTAGCCTGATAATTTGCAGTTTACATAAAACTCAATATTTGATGCCAATATCCAGGGCAGTTAATCTGTGTGTTAGCTTCCTATGGACACTGTAGCAAATTACCAGAAATTTAGTGGCTTACAACAGGAATTTACTCTCATGTAGCTCTGAAGGGCAGAAGTCACTGGGCTAAAATCAAGGGGTCAGCCGACTCCACAGGAGGATCTATTACATTTTCTTTTCCATCTAGTAGAGGCCATATGCTTTTTGGCTCCTGTGCAGTCCATTCCTCTGTCTTCAAAGCCTATCACTCAAGCCACTGAGTCTGTCGTCATATCCTCTCCTGCCTCTTATCAGGACCATAGTGACCACCTGGCTCACCAGGATCATCTCTCTATCTCCAGACCCTTAACTTAATTTTATCAGCAAAGTCCCTTTCATAATGTTCAGGCAACATGTTCACAGGTACTAGGGATCAAGATGTAGATGTCTTTGGGGTCATTATTCAGCCGTCTTTAATGTGGGCTAAGCACATGGTCTCTACTAGCACAAGGTCTTGGAGATTGAAAACCTGCCCTCTGCTACCCCTCCCCCACCACTGTCTATGGCATTTGCAGCAGTATTCCTTAATGTTTAATTCTAAAAATTAACTTTTAAAATGGAATAAGAAAAAAAAAGGAGAAATATGCTGAAGGGTTAAACTGAAATGAATGCCCTCAGTCTGAAGCATGATTTATATTTCTCTATACTGTGTATGTTTTATGTTCAGGATTGTGTCCTCCCAAC